AAACTAGGGGCTGTGCTATTCCACTACAAAGGGGAATAGCTGAACTATAAGAACCCAACCCAACTAAAGCAACAGTGGTGTCCGTCAACCATGCATACACCATATTCAAACATAACATAAACATAACAAACCCATACTAGCCACTAAATTTGAATAATTCCATGGCAGTGTCCTTTTTGTAACTTACAGAATCCCACTTGAAAGGATAAAAGTTTAACCAAAGTAGGTAACATTGTTGTGTTCAAGAGGGAGAAAGAGAGAAAAAGGAAAAACAAACAAACAAAAAATTACGTTTGTAGTGGCGTTATTAAAACGTAATGGAAAATTTTCAAGCTCTAAAAAAGAAATGACTGAGATGGATGACTGAGAACCTTCACAGACACTCTAAAAAAGAAAAAAAAAACTTCCTGTGTCCAATAACATGGCAAGTCAATGAGTAGCAAAAAGCCAAATATTATAACTGAGCGAAAATACAGATTTTTACAGCTCGTCTATTAGTTATGAGCAGCTGATTCTGCAGTTCAGGGAGTGAAACGCTCACCGCTACAGTTAGTCCTGTCCAGTGTGTCTACGGTGGAAATCCTTGGCCTCCTTTGGAGATGAAAACAGGCGTATCTTCCCATCGTGGAGGATCCTCATCTTGCATGGATTATATTGAAAACCGCGGAACACTCCTTCGTCGGCAAACACTTTTCTGATCGCGTTGAACTCGGTTCGCTGCCGGATGGTCTCAGCTGAGAAATCTTGGGCAAAAAAGAGTTTGTTTCCGTCGTGGTCGATGTTACTGTGTTTTGTGGAGCGGAAAACAAACTCCCGATCTTGGAAGTTCAGGAATCGGATAAGGACAGCTCTGTGTTGGTTTGGCTTTGGAGGTGCTAGGGTGCGGTGAGCCCTCTCAATAACGAACGATCTGTCGGTCTCAAGCCAGCGCGGTAACATCTCCCTTATAAACTCCAGCAGTGGCTGCTGACCCTCGGCACCCTCCCGGAGGCCAAATAGCCGCAGGTTCTTCCTTCGGCCCCGGTTCTCCAGGTCGTCGGTTTTTGCCTCCAGGTAGGATATCCGCTTCATGGCATTGCTGAGATCGGCCACGCTCTTTCCCAGGAGCTCCTCTGCCGACATTATTCTATTTTCAGCTTCCTCCAGTCGTGTAGCATTTGCAGCAACATTTTGCTTTACCTCCGTCATGTTTGTCTCCAATGCAGCAACTGACTTCGTCATTTCGCCCATACGGTTATCTATGCTGTCCAGTTTAGTTCCGAATACACTAAACTCGGAGCGCAACGACCGAAGTTCAGCTAACACCGTGCTAAGGTCACCCATGCTACTCGCGCTAGCAGCTCCCTCGCTGTTTTCAGGCGTTGCCAAAATATCGGTTTTAACTGGTTTTTGGGAACCGCGTTTTCGGGTGAAAATATCACAGTCCTTGAGATTAGTCGTTTTTGACATTTTCCAATAGCA